CCGGGGCACGAACCCGTGTCCCCTGCATCGGCAGGCGGACTCCCAACCACTGCGCCACCAGGGAAGCCCCACAGTAGAAATTCTTTTACAATAGAAATTCCCACAAGAAATCTTACCATCTGTTTATTGTTTTTCTTTTATCTTGGTTTTTAAAAAAATTTTAAATGACTTATTGCCTGTTTGACTTCAGTTGCATCTGTTAAGTACACGTGTTGGATAGAGATGAGTATCTGTTCACCTGTCTTTACACAATATTCTCTGAAAAAAAATTTCTCTGTTGCTCCCCATCCCTCTCCAATTGTGCGTTTCATTAAGAAGATGAGCAGTTGTGTTTAGAGTATTCAATCGCCCGCCTTTCCCAACATACCAAGCAGCCTTTTAGATGTTGATAAGTGTTTGCTGCAGAACTATATGATCCAGACGAAACAGGAAGCAGCTGTCTGCTTGGTAGGGTGCTCCGAGCGGCCCTCCACTCACCGAGGGAACACACTTCAGCTGACTGAAGCAGGGGAGCTGAGCCAATCAGAGGCTGCTTTCCTAGCTCAGTTACCAGTCTGTGGTTGAGGAAGGGTTCTGCTTTTTTATGCTCTGTTTGGGAAGGCAGATAAAATGCCAGCTCTGGACCGCCTCTGGGGATAACCTCACCCTGTGCAATGTGAATGAATAGCATCTTGCCTGGTAAATTCACAGCAATCGATAAGGCAGGTGCAATTCTTCCAAACAGGCCTTTTCTGTCTTTACCTCTAGCTGTGGCTTCTGTAGCAGTTTTGTTTTCGCTTTGATAGAGGTGCTCTGGATTATCAGACCTCCATGTATGACAATTTGTACCTGCATGGAATTGAAGACTCGGAGGCTGTAAGTATTTTCACAGATAGCTGATTTCCTCTCCCCTTCCCCCCCCCCCCCCCCACCGCCTTATTTCTTAGGCAACACAGGGAACATGGAGCTGAAAGCCAACATCATTCGGGTGCTTGCTGGCTGCTGTGTAAATGTTCTCTGTATAGTTTAGAGTTAACTGAAATAATTCTTTATTATATAATGTCTTGTCAAGCAAAAAACAAATTAGGGTGATAGCAGAGGGATCTAAGGGTGTAGTCTGCCTGGATTTATACAATACTTGGTCCACGTTTGATCTGACAAGGGATAACTGCTCCTTGCAGACCGGCTTAAACTATGCAGAAAGTGCCTATGTTTTCCAGTAGCAGGGTTCACAGAAAAGGCTCATTCATTATATAATACACATTGTATTGAGCTAGGGTGAAGGAAGTTCCTCAGCTGTAGCTGTATTATGTGCTTTCTGGCCAGACAAACAGTGCAGATCTCCTGCTTCTTTGTTAAGGAAATCAGATGCAAAGGTTGTGGTCATATAACACCCCAGTGCAGAGGCAGGAAGTATGTCCCTGTACTCTACCCTGGAAGCCCGGGGTAGGCTCACTTGTGTTTTGGCTTAGAAAACTGGACTCCCTTCCCTCCACAGGTCAGGCTCATATAATGTATTAAAATCAGGATGAAGGTGGTTTTGAGAAATCCCTAAAATCATACCATCTGAATGCTAGCTTTTGAATCCAGGGTAAAGCTGATGACTGAATCTTTCTTTTACTGTTGCTAGTGGTGGTTCTTGATTTTTTTCATCAATTATATAGAAACCTTGCAAGGTAAAATGATTCGGGATGGGAATGGGACCTGCTGTGCGGAGCCTGAATTTTCTATGAGTGCAATGCCATGCATGTTGCTACATTTGAAACAGGAATGTGTTACATAAGATTCTCTGGCTAAACCACCAAACAAACAGATTATAACAGAAAAAAAACCCCTGTGCTATACGTCAGTGCAGACGTATGTATCAAATGATGTGCTAGCCCTGAAAGATAGAAACCCTCTGTTCTGATGAGGCATCCCATTTTCCTGCCTGTCTGCGTGTGAGCTCTCACTCCAACTCTGTTTCTGCAAAGTCTCTCTGGTGTTGCCCAGCGTGCTCGTAAATTACCAGCCTGTCAGTTTACTGCAAGGGACTGTAGTCGGACACGGCAGTGGCTGAGATAGAGAAGGTCCACGTTGGCAAGTGGGATGGGAGGATGCAAACGGCAAGTAGAGGAGTTGAGTGAACTGCTCCCCCGGCTTGGTTCTTCGGGAGGTCTGATTATTTCTCCTACCCCTTCTCTCCACACTCAGTTATGAAACATGTGATGCCTCATTTGAATTGCAACTTTTCGACCCTTGGGTTTACACTTAAGTGGATTGGACTTATTGCAGAATAAACTGGTGATGTGAGACACCGGCCGCTCTGACCAGAGTCGGCTAGGAATGAATGTATCCAGCACCTTGTTCTCCAGAACTGTGTACATTTCGGATGCAGTGGTTCAGAGGGGAGCCATTATAAGTATAACAACATGTTTTTTCCCCTCCTGGTCCAGCCTCCCAGGACGGCCAAGCTTTTGGGTGGGGTGGCAGGTGCCGAGTGCAGTGATTTGAGTCCGTGGCAGTAGTTGATGGCGGGTAGTGCTAGATACTGCAGTGCTCTGCTCCCAGTGACTCAGTGGCAGCCCGCAGGCTGAGATCCTCAAGGCTGTGCACATCTGCAGAGGCAAGGCAGGTGGGAAACTTGAGGAAGGAAGAAAGGCACCTGGCCCATCCTTAGTTGAGAGAGAGTAGGGGAGGCTTTCTCATGGGTGGGATCGGAAGGGTGTCCCATAAGTCAGAGGGGAAGGCAGAGGTGTTCGGAGGGGTGAACTGTCTCTGAATGCTCATTTGAGTTTATTTGTTTTTATAAGGAAGAATAATGTGATGTGTTACCCAAGATGGTGTGAACAAAGCTTCAAGCCAATGGAGAAGACTAGGCCTAAATAGCTGACCCGGTGAAGTGAAAAATAAAGCCACACCTGGAGAGCCACATCCTCCGCAGTCTTTCTCAATGCCAATGCATTTATGGCTGTAAGTGTGGGGTTTGCCCAGATCGAAGCTAAGCTCTCGGAACAGGTCTGGTGGATAGGTGTGGAGAGGCTTTTCTCAGACGCCCAGCTGCAGTCCGAGAATACACAGTCACTAAAAGCTGAGTACAGCGCTTCCTTTGGGGGGCTGGGGAAGCCACCCACATGTGTCCCACCTCTCTGTGCTGTTGAAAATGTCTTCGTGGGGTGTGCGGGGTTTTACCTGTCATAAGTGATTCTATTCAGTGTGTTCACACAGTCAGCCTGTAATAAGATCATCTCGCCTGGGGACTGATATTTTATTCTGAATAAGAACAAAGTGTTATTGTACACTGTTAGCACTGCACCTCCCCATAGTATGAGAGAGATTTTGGTACTGTGATGTGAGGGCTTTTTATAAGAATCTGGTCCAGAGGTAGACAGTCTACTCCGGGTACCCTAGATATTTGCTCGTAACCTCTGTGTTTCACGTACTGTGTATATACAGGGAGAGGGGAAGAGGGGCCATGCTGCGATACACTCAAGTCTGGGCATTTTAGACTCGAGTCCTTTGGAGCCTTTTTGGACAAGTCCGTTAGCTTCTGCTCTGGTTTCTAGGAGGGTAGTTAAGTGTCAGCATCATTTAGATTTGCAAGGAAGTACAAAAGACCTTTTGGTGTCCCACAGCAAGGCCCCGCACAGGAGTGGGAGGTTTCACACAGAATGTCACATTCACTCCTTTTGTTGCCTTGACATGGATAATGGAGTGTGTGCTCCTAAGTGGGTCCACACCCAGCCCAGGTCAGTTACTTCCATCATGCACAGACTGTGACTATGTTGTCTTCTGTGGGAGGGTTGCCCCATTCCACCTTCTCCGCCCCCACTGGGTCTTCAGGCAGCTCTTGATGGCCAAGATACTTTTCACTGGCTGAGCCCCCAATGTATACTATCTGTTTTTTATCTGATGCACAATTGATTTTGATAGATCTGCTCCTTGGTATACACATCTTATAAATGGATTCATTGCATATTTTGACGTTTGTGAAATCACTATAAGAACAGATTTTTTTTCACTCGGCAGGGGTATTACACAAACAGTATGAGGGCTGTTCTTATAGGGATAAATGGAAGAAGCACATAAGTAGAAAAAGTTACCTAAAATCCACCCAGAGATGATTGCTGTTAACATATTACTGTGTATCCTTTCAGACTGTTGTTGTACATGTATGTAAGTATGTCATTCTAAACCTGCTATTGTGTATTGCATTCTGTGAAGTCCTGTTCTCACTTGATAAGATATTGAGCACATGAGGACTAGACTGGCCTGTACAGGAGACACTTTGCAAAATTTAAAGTTCCACGTGGACCTTCTGGAATTTTGAGCATTTTAAATGAAATACAGATTCTTAAGAGTATTTTGTAAAGGGAAGCCAGGCTTAACTGCACATTAAATTAATAGCTGATTTCTCTGACACAATTTGTTCCTTTTCCAAATGCTTAAATCTGAATGTAGAGGTAGGGACCTGACCTTTTTCAATAAAAAAGATGATCAGATCATAATCCAAGGCATTTACTAGGGAGGGAAATATATTCTTTTAAGTGTTTTCAAACACAGAAAGGAGCCATAGTATATTTATTAACACTATTAGAACTCTTAAAGTGAAGGTAAATTTTACAAAATCTAATGTGTACGTATATATTAAAGCATGTATGTAAATTTACATCTACTTACATATTATAAGGATAACTATATGTTAATTATTTAAACTATTCATTTTCTATAAGCTGTGTAGCTATGTGTGTTTGCCTAAATGTCTGTGTACCCATAGGTGTACACACACTGTACACCCTCGTACATTCATGGACATTCACGTATAGATATGATCCATGCTTTGCTAATTGATGGTTAATGCTAAGTGGGAGATTTCTGCCTTTTGGAGAAGGAAAACTAACTGCTTTTGACATAAAGATACCCAAGAGGGTTGAAAAGCAACACATCCTCAAGAGAATAAATGATTGCTACTTTCAAAGATTATAATAGAGTTATTAAATATGAGGATATGTCCTTGTGCTTGTTAGGAAGGAGGATAAATTTCAAACAGAAGGCTTTGTGTGTTTAGAGACCTTTGGAAAAACACTCTAGGGATAGTAAGGCTTAGATTTCTTTTGGAAATGTTTAGACCAGAGGTCTTTATGGTTTGGTATATCAGAAGATCCCTTCTGGGGATAAAAAGTCTTTCTGGCCTATTTCTAGAGAGTCAGGCCTGTTCTATGAAGGAATCCATCACTGGCCAGAGAGGAAAACCAAATGCTGCTTATGTGTAATAAATTTGACTAAGAAAATCAACTTGTTTTACTCAGTTGAGCAATTTTGGTGTTTCTCCCGAGTCTGTTAAGTAAGTGGTGAACAGAACCTTCTCTTCAATCAATCAGTTCTTAGCAATATATATTGAAATGATTTCTACATATAATTGTCGTGGAGCTAAAGAGAGAAATTCCTTAAATCTGGTCAGAACCCATGAATTTGCCTCTCCAAGGTCATCAGTCTTGCCTCTTTCTTGGTACTTTGCATTTTCGAGCGACAGAGGGAAGCATTAGGATCAGCCCCCAACTTTCCTCAGGGGCTTCTGTATCTCCTTTCCTGCTGGTGTTCTGCTTCCTATTCGATTATGATGAGTCAATCAGGACTTTAGAATGTGGTCTTCTGACTCTATGTGTGCACAGTGACCATTACATTATTCTGTGGTGTAAGATGTTCTGTAGAAAGGTCTGCAATAATGATGAAAAAAACATGCTTTTAGGGTGAAGGTGAGGAGGCATCCCATTGCCTTAGCCCTTCCTTTTCCATCAGAGTTCAGCTTGGACCTTCTTTCTGTGTGGACAGTTCTCATCATTCAGTTCACCATCTGCCTTAAACATCCCTTACCTAGGTAAACTAAGCCACCCAAG